CAGCCTTACCTAATCTGGTAGCTCCAGGTTCCAGTGAGAGACCTTGCCTCAAAAAACTAAGTAGGGACCAGCAATATGGCTCAGCAGGTAAAAGCAATTGCCCTGCAAGCCTGGCAACCTGAATTTGATCCCCAGAATCTATGAAAAGTAAAAGGAGAAAACCGATACACAAAGTTATCCTCTGGTATTTACCCACACATCATGTGAGTACATACACAAGGTTAATAAATAAAATGAAAAAGAAACATAGAAACCAATTGGAAAAGATATTCAAGGTTGATCTCCAGCCTCCACATGCATACAAATGTACATGTCCTTAACATGTACAGTTAGAACAAAGAACTCCAGAATACATGATGGTACACAGTTGTAGACCCAGCTTTTGGGGAGATAGAGGCAGAAAGGTAACTTGAACTACTTGAGTTTAAGACCAACCTGTGCACCATAGCAAGACCTGTCCCAATTTAAAAAAAAAAAAAAAAAAAAGCCAGGCATGGTGTAGCACACTTTTACTCCCAGAGCTCTGGACTCAGAGACAGGTGGATCTCTCTGAGTTCCAGGCTAGCCCTGACTACAAAGTGGGTTCCAGGCCAGCCAGAACCACACAGTGAAACCTATCTCAAACAACAGTAACAAGTAATAAGGACAAGAATGTTTTGTTTTGTTTTGTTTTTTTAAAAATACAATCATAAAACAAGAACTGAGCACCTAGCTTCTCACCCTGCTTGTAACACTTGCATTGTGATATGACCACAACTGGGATTCATTTATGAAATAAGGACAATGGGGAGCTGGGTGTGGTAGCACAAGTCTTTAATCAAGGACACAACAGGAGGACGTCTGTCAGGTTGAGGCTAGCCTGGTCTATGTAGTGAGTTGTGGCACAGCCAGGGTTACATAGTGAGACCCTGTACCCCCCAAAAACAAAAAGATTATTTATGGGCAGAAGAGATGGCTCAGTGGGTAAGGATACCCGCTGCCACTCCTGATGACCTGAGTTCAATCCCTGTAACCGACATGGGAAAAGAGAGGATCCCCACAAGTTGTCCTCTGACCTCCACACTGTAAATGTGTGTGCGCGCACACGTGCGTGTGCGTGTATGCATGTGCCATATAGCACACATGGAGGTCAGAAGACAACTATGTGGAGTTCGTTCTCTCCTTCCACCTTTACATGTGTTCCAAGAATCAAATTCATGATGCCAGACTTGTGTAGCAAGTGTCTCTACTCAATAAGCCATCTCATTGGCCTCGGCAGTTTGCTTTTTTTTTTTTTTTTTTTGGTTTTTCGAGACAGGGTTTCTCTGTGTAGCTTTGCGCCTTTCCTGGAACTCACTTGGTAGCCCAGGCTGGCCTCGAACTCACAGAGATCCACCTGACTCTGCCTCCCAAGTGCTGGGATTAAAAGGTGTGTGCCACCACCGCCCGGCTTTCGGCAGTTTGCTTTTTATAGTTATATTTCAATGTAATTTCTATAGAAAAAGGAGCCACAATGTTAGTAGTTGATGAGGGGGGCGGTGTTGACCCTCACACTATGACCCAGGCTGTCCTGGACCTCACTGGAGTTCTCATGCCCCAGTCTCCCAAGTGCTGGGATAAGGAGGCGCAACACCACCTCTGGGGTTTGTTTTGTTTTTGCTGGGTTTTTTTGTTTGTTTGTTTGTTTTCTTGTTTTGTTTTTTTGGTTGTGAGCCTAGCCTTTAACGGCCGAGCCATCTCTCCAGCCCTTGTTTTGTTTTTTTTTTAAATAATAGGGTCTCTGGGGCTGGGGGGTGTAGCTCAGTTAGGAAAGTGTTTGTTCAGCATGCAGTGCCCTGGCTTAGATCCACAGTACCCAGGCAGAGTGGCACATACTTGTAATTCCAGGACTGGGGGAGACAGGAAGATCTAAAGTTTGAGGTCATCTTTCACTACACAGTGAGTTCACAGTTAGCCTGGGCTACATGAGACCCTGTCTCAAAACAAAACAACACAAAACACCCATACAATAAATATAAATAAAATGCTGGGCTGGAGTAATGGGTCAGCGGTTAAGAACACTTACTGCTCTCGCAGGGGACCTTAGTTTGATTCCCAGGATCCACAGGGTGGTTTATAATCCTCTGTAACTTTAGTTCTAGGGGATCTACCTTCTTCTGCCCTCTGAAGGCACCAAGCCTAAGTGTGGTATACATATATACATGCAGGCAAAAAACACTCATAAATAAAATGAAATATAAACAAATGTGTACTAAAGAAAAACTAACTAAAATTTAAAAAGTTAAGAAAGAAAAAGCAGGGTCTCTTGATGGAACTCATGCCTCAGGCTCCCAAGTGCTGGGATTACAGACATGCACTCCAGTAGTTGGCTTTTACACTCCTCTTATTGATCTGATTTTTGAGACAAGGACTCACTCTGTTGTCCAGGTGACCTCGAACTTGTGCCAATGCTTGTTTCAGCTTCCTGAGTGCAGGGATTACAGGATTCTTTTCAACTAGGATTTCACTAGTTGTAGTTTATCAGTGAAAGATAAACCCTGACTGGTAACATGGCAGGCAGAAAGAACACGCCACAGTCAAATATCCTCTGGTTCTGACTGATTCTTTCCTTCCCTAAACCATTTATGTCCCTCTGTACAGAATTCCACGTGAACTGTATCTTAATTGTCCCATTCCCCCTCCCCCCAAGCCTCCTGCAAAAATAACTGCAAATGTCATGAAGGGAGAGAAAGTGTCGAATTGATTTGGTATTGTTCAAGGAAACCAGCAGTGCTCTGCCAGCAAGCCTGATGTCAGAGTGAGACACTTGAACTTACCTTTGCAAGCTCCACACCAAGACTTATGGATGATCACCATCAGGGGCAAGCCACTTAAAAAACAAAGAAATTATATTCTAGTAAAATCCTTCAAAAGTACGCTAACAAAACCACAAGCAGTTCACTGAGTCAGAGTACTGCATATAAATGTTCCTGCTGTATGGCTTCAGTTGGGAAACTGTAAAACAATCCAACTACTTCAATAACAGATTATTATCAGAAAAACGATTGTAAATTCTGTTTCCATTAGTTCTGCAAATTTGGCTTTAAAAGTAGGAAGAAAAAAGTGGAATAGAAGAAAAACATCAAATTATAATATTTTAGATGTTACTGTATCTCTAAGTGATTATTACACAACTGAACATGTAAATAAAAACCTTCCATTAGCATCTAAGTAAAAAATTAGGATATAAATTATCAACAGGGCCAGTGGGTAAAATGCTTGCTGTGTAAGCGTGACAGCTTGAGCTTAGGTGTCCAGCACTATTCCGTCACCCTCTCCATGACACTTAGAATGTCTCAGACACGATACTGTCAGGGTCTTTACATCTGCTATGTCCACCACATACATCGTTATTGATCTCAAACACACAGCATTCACTCTACGCCAGTGCTAGTCTACATGATTAGCTCATTTAGTAAGTGTTAGGTGAACTGTTTAGCTACCTCACCTTAGACTTACTAAAAATCTGAATGGACTGACTTGGGCCTTTGATATTTGCAAAGGCTTATAAACCACACAAGAAGGACAAGGGTAAGGAGATGGCAGGATGCAGGTGACCATAACTAAAATGTATTAAACTAGATAGCTCCACAAATATCACTAGGGTAGAAACTTTAAAAACTTGTAATTATGGGCCAGGCATTGTGACACATGGCTTTTAATGTCAGCAGTCTGGAGGCTGATCTCTGAATCTGAGGTTAGCTTGGTCTAAATAGTTGAGTTGCAGGCCAGCCAAGGCTACATAGTGAGAACCTGCACTTCAATGAATAATTACATTTACTTGAGTGTGAAAAATAATTATACTTACTTATTATTGGTTTTTCAATACAAGGTTTCTCTGTGTAGCTCTGGCTGTCCTGGAACTCAGAGATTTGCCTGCCTCTCCCTCCTTGAGTGCTGGGATTAAACACATCTGCCACTACTGCCTGGTGTAATAATTATATTTGAGTGTATTTGCATCCATGCATGCTCCTGGGAGACCTAGCAAGGAAGGAAGAGAGCATGTACACTGGAGATCACAGGTTTTCTATCACGGTGTAAGTCCCGGGGATTGAACTTGGACTGTTAGGCTCGGAGGCGAGCACTCTTGCACGACCTGCCATCTCATCTGTCCTTGTACTTTTGATTCAGGGTCTCTATGTAACCTACACTGGGCTAAAACCCATGGCAATCCTCCTGCCTCAGCCTCCTGAGTGCTAGAATTACAAGCATATGCCAACATACTCATCTAGGGTGGATACTATTAATGGTCTCACAGAAAGGAGAAAATTAATCTGTGATGTAGCTCAATGGTATATAAAGCACATGCCCAGCATGTACAAGGTTATGGGTTCAATCCCCAGCCCCACCCAGAAAGATCAAGACTCCCAAGAGATTAACTAACAGACCACATAATCCCCAGCCCCACCCAGAAAGATCAAGACTCCCAAGAGATTAACTAACAGACCACATAAGGTTTAAGTTCTGCCATTTATAATCTAACAAAAAGACTGATTCCAAAACCAATGTTCATTATAGTGTCCTTCATTTAAAAGAGCCATCTAGATAATAAATGTTATTATACATAAAAATATACCATTTTTCTACAGCGGTATTTCAAATACTAACTTTTCTACAGTCTTCCAAAAGCACCTTCTCCCAGCAGCTAGTTAATCCTCCACAGGTTCTGTGATAGCTACCCTTCATCCTATTGAGCTTGTGTGCACTCCACACAAAAAATTTCTCAAGGCAAAAGTCTGAAAAAAATCATATAGATAACAGCGATCCAGTACTTACCGTTTGTTACCAACAAAATTAAGATGACGATGTTGTTTGCCTTGGAATACACGATGAAGCACAATCGTTATGGGAGGTACCACAACGTATAGGCCAAACAACTGAGCCTCTCATATAAAAATACTATCAGCCAAAGACATGCCACAACACATGTATATAAAAAGTATTAGCTTGCAGGGATAACATTAAATTAAGAGTCCAGCAGACAACTTTAAAAGATTTTATTAGAAGAAATATCTAATGGTTGTCTTACACAAATATCAGTTTCCCAGAACAAAAGATGCACCTGTGTTCGAAGCTCCAGGATAGATAGCAAGTACTGTACTCAAAAAAAAAAAAAAAACTTGTATGAAAGAAGGGCCATACAAAACTGTATCGTCTTCGTTTTCTACTCAGCTGATTTAAACAATTCTCCACCCCGATGTAGTTGGTATCCCCAAGCAGAGCCCAACCAAAGAAAAACTCTGCCCACCTGAGATTTCTGGAGCTCCTATGCCTCAGCTCATGCTATACACTCAGATGTGACACGCACAGAGGCAGTCAAGAAAACGAGTCACTCAATGTAGCAATCCTAGTACTACAGTACGCTCTGTAGACCTTCGGACCACTCTTCCTAGACAGAGTACAGTGGAGTAAAGACAGGAGCCATCGCCGCCTCCCACTACCGCTATTAGTCCAAACTTTTGCTCAGATACTGAAGAAACATGTTGGCCAGTTGAGGCAGGTTCTCGTTGTTGGGATGCATTTTTGTGTAGGTAATAAACTGGCGACGGAGGCTACTCAGTTCCGCCAAGGTCAAGGGCCGGGTAAACTGGAGGTGCTGAGTGGTGCCAGGGAGTGTTAACACGTCTCCGGGTACAGCGCTCTTCTGTGCTTCCATCAGAGCAGTCAACACCTGGCTCGTAACCTGGTCCAACTGGTACAGAAAGTCGCCAGAGGCTAGGGGCTGGGACTGCGTCGACTGATGGGGTGGGGGGGCCCGGTTCTCAAACAGAGCAGCCCGGATCTCAGCCAGCGGCAATGGCTCTTCTAAGCCCACCACGGTGAACAAAGGTCGATCCCAGCGGTTCCGCGAGTCGGGAGACTCAAAGCGCTGCGCTAAGGACTCCACAAGTTCGGGAGGAAAGGCACTGGACGCGGGCTCTGCAGATGGCTCCGACTCCGGGGTGACTCCGGCTGGAAGATTTGGGGGCGGGACTTCCTCTGGATCCAGTTCCCGGGGGACAGCCGGCAGGCCTGCCCCATTTGCGACCGGGCTGGCGGCGCGCTGTCCCCCGGCAGCGCCGGCCCCCGGAGGTCTCTCCCCCTCCCCGGCGCGCGACCTCCAGCTCACACTGACAGCCGGGCCGCGGTCATCCGTGGCGCCGGCCACCTGAGGCCTGCGGCTCGGCCAGAACGGGCGTATGCAGTAAACTACGCAGAGCGGCGTGCGCGCGGCCCGCGCGAGGCAGTACAGCTCGTAGCGGAAGCCCTTGATGTAGTTCATGGAGTCCAGGATGACCACGTCCTGCCGGCTCAGGCGCCGCTCCACCGCGGCCCGCAGCGCGGCGCGCAGCGTCTTCTCACGGGCGGAGTCGCCGTACACCGCCGCGTCCGGATTGACCAGCACCGAAGCATCGTCCACCACGTGCACCGTGTGGCCCTCGCTGACCAGCGCCCGGCGAAGCTCTTCCGTACGCTGGCTCTTGCCGGTCGACGGCAGCCCGCAGAACACCACGAGCGGCATGTTCTCCGGGGCCGCCCATGTGCGGACGCTGCGTCAACTTCCGGCACGAGCCGGAAGTGAAGCCCGGACGTCCTGTTTACCCCCCCCACACACACGTGGCTACAAGCATTTGTTTCTATGGAAACGGGAACGCTAAACCGACTAGTTCAAGGACCGAATTTCTCAGAAAGGAGATGCGGAGATTAGAATGGTATCGGTTATTGACACCAAATGTTATAGGCCTAAGAGGATGATTGCCCTGCCGTCAAAGAAAATGCCTATTTATTAATTAGGATTTAATTAATGGGCATTCTACAAAATTACTAGCACCAGATTTAGCATACGGAAAGCAATTTACAAAGGATGCTTCTCTATTCAGGACTTCTCTTACACCTTGTAGCTCTTAGTAGAGGTTTACTCATAACACTCATAACAACTACTTCAATCGTCAACATCTTTCCATGGTATGATATGAACATAAAACTGTTCCCCTAAGGAAATTAAGGGTCTTAACTGGGAGAATTAAAGTGTCCTGACACAGTAAAAAATGCTATGGGTAGCCGTACATTAGTGTGAAGAACAAAAGTGGAGAGCTGCCCAGAAAACTCATTGAAGAACTGACTGATATTTTAATTTGTTTCTATTTGTTTGGGAGAGGGGTGCTGGTCTAGGGCCTCATGCAGGCCCTACCACTGAGCTACACCCTCGGGTCAAATTATTTAATTTGTTTTTGTTTTTCGAGACAGGGTTTCTCTGTGTAGCTTTGCACCTTTCCTGGAACTCACTCTGTGGCCCAGGCTGGCCTCGAACTCACAGATATATCCGCCTGGCTCTGCCTCCCGAGTGCTGGGATTAAAGGTGTGCACCACCACCGCCACCGCCACCGCCACCGCCCCCCCCCCCACCCCCCGGCAAATTACTTAATTTTTAACTTGAAAGACTAATGAGAATTTTCCTCTTGGACAGGGTTGTCAAAGACAATGTAGATTTTCCAATTAAATCTGAATTTAAGGTTTTTTAAAATTGCATTAAGCTGCATGGACATATTCTATGTTCCTTTATGTAAAATTTAAGTTTAGCTGGGCATCTTTTATTTCTATTATTAAACCTGGCAATTCTACTGCAGAACATTTGAGACACCAGTATCCTGAGACTGTAGGACTCTGTTCTGGAATAGCAGGCAGTAGTTGGGTAGGCGCAGAAGTGTGAGTGTGAGCATGTCTGTGCCAGCGGTGTGGTATCACACAGGACACACATGCTGGGGTAGGGTAAGTCTCCAACACAGTACAGAAGAGAAGTGAGAGTCCTGGCCCTGCTACTTAATAGCAGTTGAAATTCTGCAAGGTAACTTCACTTTTCTGTATTTCGGTTTCTTTTCTATAAAACGTAAGTTATTTCATAGGCATACCAATCTCAGAGGTTGTGAAGACCAAAGAAACCAACCCATGTAAAATGGGCAGTTCCTGGCCTCTGCCTCCTCCCCTACCCCTTAAGCTCTGGGTTGTTGTACATAAGCCTGAAATATGACAGTTTTGTAGCCTTAGGCTAGTAGACAGTTTAACTTTTGGGTTTAGAGCATAGGCTCTTTAGTTAAAGAACCCGAAGAGATGTTCGAAACTCAGCTCTGCTATATACCAACTTGGGATCTTGGGCAAATTAACTGTAATTTCTCATTGCTAAAAAAGAAAGTAGCAATGCTTCATAGAAATGTGAAAACTAAACGAGGTAATTCAGATCATTTAACACCCAGTACCCAGTAAGTGCTGAGTTTTTGTTATCAGTAACAAAACTTCAGTTCTTGTGGGGCCTTGACATGGCCCTTCACCTGAAAACAATGCTAAGTTAATGATTCTATGAAGTAATAGAAAGTTTTGTTACTATAAATGGCATGACACCATGCTTTATACCTTGCAGCTGCTTCTTTCTTCCCATCTTCTAAAGTCCTCCAGTGGATATGATCTCCAAAACCTAGAAGGAAAGAGCCTTATAAACATCCATACAATGAACAAAGATCATAGACACAGAAGGAAGTGAGACATGTTTATAATAGAGCCACAAACAGGAAGAAAAAAAAAAAAGCTAAGAGCCTGGCGTTCAACACCCAGCTCACTGTTTTCTCGTATATTGTCACATTTCCCACGCCTGTTTTCATGCCTCTCAATGGAGATAATACCATCTAGTTAATAATTGCCAGGGAAATTAAATAATGATGTGAAGTACCACACACTATGCCAACAATACTGTGAGTGAATAAGAATGCATTGTAACCAGAAAGTGTATCCCTGAAGTGCCACACGGTGCAGCTTTGGCGTCACAAAGACATGGATCTGTACCTCCACTTCACATGAAGTATGTGGGGTTTTGAAGGAAGCCATTTAAGTCCCAATGTCACCATCTATAAAATCAAGACACTAATTTCTACCTCTGAATATTGGTATAAGGAACTAAAAAATGAGGTCAGGTGCATTAATTGTCATTATTCCCACAATTCAGCCAGAATGTTTTTTTTTTTTTCTTTTTAAAACTACATTTAGAGACAGGCGGATCTCTGTGAGTTCAAGGCCAGCCTGGTCTACAAAGCGAGTTCCAGGAAAGGCGCAAAGCTACACAGAGAAACCCTGTCTTGGAAAAAATAAATAAATAATAAATAAATAAAAGCCGGGGGTGGGGGTGGCGGCGGCACACGCCTTTAATCCCAGCACTTGGGAGTCAGAGGCAGGCAGATCTCTGTGAGTTCTAGGCCAGCCTGGGCTACAGAGTGAGTTCTAGGACAGGCTCCAAAACTACACAGAGAAACCATGTCTCAAAAAGAACAAACAAACAAACATAAAACTACATTTGTTTACTTTTTTTATGTGGGCATGCATATGCCACAGCCTCCGTGTGGAAGTCAGAGGACAACCTTCAAAAGTTGGCCCTCTCCACCATGTGGGTCCCAGGAACTGAGCTCAGGTTGGCAACATTTGTGGTAAGCACCTTTACCCACTGATGCACCTCCCTGGTCCCCATGATCTTTTTCAATGACATCATTGCTTAGTAAGAAAAATTCCAGAGGATATCTAATGTTCCAAGTAAAAGGTCAACTCTCAAAAGACTGCTTACAAAGGCTTCAACAAGAAAACAAGGCTTGGCTAGGCAATGGTGGCCCATGCCTTTAATTCCAGCACTGGGGAGGCAGAGCGGGTGGATCTGTAAGAGTTTGAGGCCAGCCTGGTCTACAAAGAGAGTTCCAGGACAGCCAGGGCACACAGAGAAACCCTGTCTGGAAAAACCCAAACAAAACAAAACAAAACACCTGGCTGGTTGTGGTGGCGCACACTAAGGGAGAAGAGCAGGCAGGTGGATCTCTGAATTCCAAGGCCAGCCTGGTTTACATACAGTTCCAGGACAGCTAAAGCTACAGGAAAGACTTTGTCTTAAGAGCGAAAGACAAGTAAAAGCACCCCACTCACTTCTGTAACCTCACTCTACACTTCTCTCAAAACTCAAGACACAGAAGTATTTATTTCCGCCTCTTTACATGCAGCTCTGTGTGTATTCCCTCCCCTCCAGGCTGTTTCATAATTGGTCTACCTCTGCCTTTCTTGCCCACCCTTGCCTCCAACTCAGCACTGAGGTTCAACTCCAGGGGCATTTCTTTTGATAGGACGCACTCACAAACCACTCAGCTCTTGTCCCACTACATTTCCCAGGCAGAATCTTTAAACATTTGTGTGTCCATTTCCCTTATTCCAAGGGGGAATTCCCTAAATGCTGGGACCAAACTTCTGGTATCTTTTCCTGTTTCCCTAGCACTTAGCAGTACACATGACTATTGCAAGTACTCCGTAAAAGAGTTCTTAAAAATCTTCTGTTATATCCAGAAAACACTAGAGATCATAATGTTAGACAAATTTATTTAAATTGATTTATTCTTTCAAAACTTCATTTATATGTTATCCTCTTTTATCCTTCCCTCTCACTAAAGCCCTTCTTCCCGCTAAGTTCCTCTCTCTCTCTCTCTCTCTCTCTCTCTCTCTCTCTCTCTCTCTCTCTGTGTGTGTGTGTGTGTGTGTGTGTGTGTGTGTGTGTGTGTGTGCACGTGCACGAGCGCGCATTTAATTAGGATTGCATTGATGAGCCTGTGTGGGAGGTCACCCACTTGAGCAAGGGCAACTTACTAATGGCTACACCATTGAGGAATGACTCCTCCAGCAACCACTAGGTTACAGACCTACTGGAAGGGCTCTAGCAAGCCCATGGCAAACATGGCTCAGACAGGTTTCGTCATTTACCTTTTGTGAAGGGGCCCCAAAACAGCTTGACCACACAGCAGCCAGGACAGGCTTCTGGGCCTAGACACAGCTTCTGTGACAGGCTTACTGGCAGGCAACACCCAGATCCAGGAAAAGCCTTAATCTGACACCACCCAGGGATGAAGAAGTACCTGACATCCCAAACATTCTAACCATTAGATAAGGTGGCCAGATACCCTTGAGTCTAGCACACACCTATTTTTGTTTTACAGATACCCCTAGACAATTGTCAGCCAATCAGGGTCCTGGACCCTGGACATCCCCTCACCCCAACCTCTGCTATGATTAAAAACTCTGCTCCACCTGAGCTCAGAGCTCTCTGCTCTCACCGCTGTGTTGGACAGACAGAGGGACCAAGCTCCAGAGCTTGAAATGAAGGCTCTTTGCTTTTACATGCGGGATTCGGTCTCTGTGGTGGTCTTTTGAGGGTCCCTGCGATCTGGGCTAACACCTTTCTCCCCCTGGCCAAACCATAGATTACATTCCTGAAGCCACCAAGGTCTATTCCCTTATTTGGCCATTTCCTCCTCCTGAGGCTGACCACCAAGGTCCAGCTCTCAAAGTACTGAAGTCTAGCAATCAAAATCTCCCTTTTGGCTCTATCAGTTAGAGAATTATTAAATTCTTAAAACTGTTGTTTTCCTATGGGCCATATCTGTCTCCTCTCTATCCAGAGGCAGCGCTTTGTCTCTCCAGGGCAAACATCTCCCCCACCCCACCCCTGTCCTCTATCTCCTGTCTTTGTCTCTTATTCCCTGCCCTTTGTCCCTCGGGGCAAATCTCCTCTGTGGGTGTGTCCTGTGTCCCCTGTGGTCCTTACACCTATAGCTCCTCCCAGGGGTGTGGGGCCTGTGAGACCCGTGTGCAGGGGGCCACAGCCATGTCCTGTCCAGAGGACAGCATTTCACAGCTCACAGCGTTGCTTCCCGTCCTCTGGCTTTTACTCTTTCGGCCTCCCTTCTGTGATGCTCCCTCTATCTGCTACTGTTAACCACCTCATACGTGGACAGCACATTATACACGCCGACTCGGTTACCTTGGCAATCATTCACTATTTCCCCTCTCTAGACCGCAGTTTTCCCCAGATTCGGATAGGTAATCATCATGGTCTCTTGTAAGGTTATTTCTGAATAGCCAACAAAATTATAAAAGTGTTAACACAGAGTGTGAACATCAGTATGGAGTAGCTTTTGCTTTTCTTTACAGCTGAGACTCCGAGAAGGCAGTAAATTATACTAGGTTATCTCACTGCGAAACAACCAACCTGAGATTTAACATCCAGCCTTGTGCCTTTTCAGTGACTACATTTGTCTTTCAGAAATTTACTTCCCCCAAATGAATTACAATCTACTTG